CTCGTTATTCACCTGCGCAGTGACGTGGTACACGGGGTGTGATGCACTCTCTTCGCGGCCATCTTGGAGAGTCCTGCAATGTACTCTTGAAAATGTCATCAAATTAATTATCAGAATTGTCTCATAAGAAAAGACTTTAAAACATTTAATCAAAACATAACATATATAGAAAAGTACATAATATTTAACTTTGAATGGATCAGAAAATGATTTTTTAGATGGGACATTAAAATCACAGTCTTTTAAAGACATATTTGGTAAATCAGACTTCATGATTGGATTAATTTGTAGGGCATTGTTGAAAATAATAGAGCAATTAATAACTGAGTGTGGACAGGGAAAGAGTGGAACAGAACCTTAATTCTCTCAGAACATTCCCAAACTATACCATCTCACTGAGAATCAACAGCAAAGGGCTATGAAATGAGATGGGGGATATTAGTTTCCTAGGACTGCCTTAACAAAGGACAAGAAATTTTTAAAAATAATTGAAGTTTACTGTCTCTTAGTTCTGGGAGTCAGAAATTTGAAATCAAGGTGTGCTGTCTGAATGGTACGATTTGTTTCATGTTTCACTTCTAGGTTCTAGTAGCTCCAGGTATTCCTTTCCATGTAGAGGCATCACTCCAATATCATCACATATCACATTATCCTCATGTGTTTTTTTTTTTTTGTCCCTCTGTGTATGTCTGTTCAAATGTCCCCTTTTAAGGGCAACAGTCATTGGGTTAGTGCTTACTCCAATAATTTGGACTTGGTTAAATCTGCAAAGACTCAGTTTCCAAATAACGTTATCATCTCAGTGAACTAGGACTTCAATATCATCTTTTAATGGATAGTTAATCCATACTAGGAATATAGGCTTCAATAAAATAATTCAACCAATCACTAAACAAATACGATAATAATAATATCAGGCTCTGAAGAAAAGGGTGGTACCAATACCCAGAGTTACTATAACACATCATCTAAAATCTCCAGTTTTCCACAGAAGTACAGAAAGCACAAACCATGCACAAGAAAAAGCATACAACAGAAACTGCCAGTGAGAGGGATCAGATGGTCAGATTTAACAAAAAAGATTTCAAAGTAGCTATTATAAATTTGTTCACCAAAGTAAAACCATGAGTTCATAACCCACTTGAATCAAAGTGTGAAATATGATATGTCAAGAACTATGTAATGTTTTGAACAACCAACAATAAAAAATAAAAAAAAATAAAATGACTAAGTTACATTATAGCTCCAAAAAAAAAAGTAAAACCATGATTAAGACAGTAAAGGTGGTATGGTTATAACCTTATAACCAGAGGAGTTCTCAGAGAGGAGGACCTGAACTCAAGATAAGAAGTCCTTGGAATATGTGACAGAAAAAAAATTTAGCATGTGCCAGTCAGAGACCGGTTTGTTTAAGAAAGTTGATTCACATTCAAGGGAGAATGCTGGCCATCTTGAGAGTGTAAAGGAGAATGTTAGCCACCTTGAAAGTGAAGCTCTGGGGTAAAACAAGTAATATGCATTCAGGGGAGAATGCCAGCCACCTCCAGAGGGATAGACAGCAAAATCTTGGTCTTGAATTGTAATGTTTACAGAGGGACAGTAGCTCGGAGCTGAACTACAGATGGAGGCAGGGTAGGTACATAGACTTTTATCTAAAATATGTAAGAACACTAGCCACTCATCAATAAACAAATAACCTGATTAAAATTTGGGTATATAATCTAATTACTCATTTCTCCAAGGAAAGCACAAATGGTCACAAAGTATGTGAAAAGTTGCTTAATATTAATCATCAGAAATTCAAATCATAATTATAACCAACTCACACCCACCAGGATGCTGTAATTAGAGTAAGATAACATTGGTTGGTAAGGATTTGAAGATCAGAACCCTCATACACTGTGGGTGGGAATGTAAAATGATTTGGTTATTTTTGAAAAGTGTGTTTTCTTTAATGTTCCTTAAAAGTTTAAACAGTCTTACTTACCTTAGGGCCCAACTCTTAGGTATATATACCCCATGAAAAATTAAAGTGTTCCCAAACAAAGTTGTATATAAATGTTTGTAGCAGCATTATTCATAATAGCCAAAATATGGAAATGGTCCTTCAATGAAAAAAGGGCTAAGCAAATGTAATATATCTGTATGATAGGTTATTATTCAGGCAGGAAAAGGAATAAAACACTGATGTATATCACAAAATGGATGAATCTTGAAAACATGATAATTGAGACAACCAGTGACAAAATATTCCATGGTGTATTAATCTACTCATATCAAAGTCCAGAATATGAAATCTGTAGAAACCTGAAGTATATTAGTGCTGGCCTAGGACTAGGAGACAGACAAGGGTTATGGGGTCATAATTAAAGGATACAGGGCTTCTTGAAGTGATAAAAATGTTTGGAATTAATTGTGGTGATAGTTGCACTTATCTGTGAAAATACTCAAACTCACTCAATCATATATATTAAAAGCTATTTAAAGAATTAATTAGTGCATATTACATGTAATATTATTCCAATTTGAACTTTAAAAATTAGATAAAATGGAAAAATTCTTTAAAAGTGGAAGCTATTAGAGAAATTTTATGAGTAATTTGAAAACCTTCTTTCAAAGATAATTCTAGGCCCAGATGGCTTTACTTATGATACATGCCAAGCATATATGGATGAAAACAGAACACAAAATGTGGATGTACTTCAAAACTCATTTTATGAGTGTAGTGTTACTTTGACATTAAAATATGAATACAACCATATTCTCATAATAATTCATCTATGCAAACATAGATGAAGAAAATAATATGCCAATAAAATAATAGCAAATGCTATTTAATAACAACAAAAATGCATAATATACCATAAGGAACTTGGATTTATACCAAGAAATCAAGATTGGTTTCACATTCAAAATCCAGAATGTAATTCAACACATTGATAGCTTAAAGGGGGAAGGGAAAAAAAAGAAAAGCATATGGTTATCTCAATACAGAATATCTGGTAATATTGAATATTCATGATTTACACAAAAATTTTTAAAAACTGGGTATCAAGAGGAACTTCCTTAATAGAATTTAGGGTATCTGTTAAGTCCTGCAGAAATGATTGTATCAAATGGGGAGACATCTGGGGGAAAAATGCCACTTATATCCAACATTTTTGGAAGTCTTAGTTCAATTTGGCATCAAAAAGAAATGAAAGTAAAAACTGGAAAGAAAGAAGCAAAATATTGAGTATTTGTAGATTACTGAATTATCTACATATAAAATTTAAAGTCACCTAGTGAATATTAATGTTTATTGGATATCAGACTTAAAAACAAAGCAAATACATGTTTATATGAATTTGCATGCAAGCAACAAATAGTTAAAAATCAGATATTTTGAGTAATATTTGTAATAGCACAAAAAATGTATCAAGTAATTGTGTAAGAGTATAACAAAAGATGCACATACCGATATTTTTTAAACTAAAAATTTTTATTGGGATCCAAAGAATAGAGAGATTATTTTCATGCATAGAAAGGTCATGTTTAAGTATGTAGATTATGTGCAAATTTTGATTCACAGATCTTTTGCCAGTTCACTCAAAATCTGTATTTTTTTATACATTTATCAAGATAATTCTAAAATTTATACAAAAATACTAAAGGCTAAAAATAACAAGGATTCACCCGGGAGTAGTGGTACATGGTTGTAATCCCCGCAACTTGCTAGTCTGAGACAGAAGGATCATAAGTTGAAAGCCAGTCTCAGTAACTTGGTGAGATCCTTCTCAAAATAGAAAATACAGGAGATGTGGCACAGTGATAAAGCAATTTTGTGTTTATGAATCTGTATGCTGGTTATGTGTGTGTTCTGTTGAAAAGTCAGCTGTAAATTTATGGGTGTACTGTATATTTTACTTCAACATGGGTTTTAAAAAATATATTGTTTAAGGAAGCACACCATAAAACAACAAAAAGAAGAAAGAATTTTAAGTTAATGATTATCATCAGTGAGAGAGAATGCTATAATCTGGAAGGGTTTAAGACTAGGGAGTGGTTTCTGGAGTTGCTATCAGGGTTCTAATATTTTATGTTAGTTCTGATTACAAGATATTTGCTTTATTTTATTTAAGTGTGCAGTTCTATTTTAATTACATATTTCTATTTAAAATTTTATGATTAAAAGAATTAAAAATTAGCCAGAAATATATAACAAATTGAGAATAAAATATTAACTTAAAATAATGGATTTTTTAAAGCCTGTACATACAATAATTACATAGGCTAAAATATTAACAACTGGATATCTTTCTACCTTTCTTATTTCCCACAATTAATGCCATCATGTGCTGCATACCAATGTAAGAGTCAATGACAGCATTTATGACAATGGTCCGTAAGATTATAGTGGAACAGAAAAATTCCTATCACCTGCTGATATCATAGCCATAGTAACATTTTAGTGGAAAGCATTACTTAGGTGTTTGTGGTGATACTGATGTAAACAAACCTACAATTGTGCCACAGTTATGTATAGTACAAAATATAATAAGCGTGTTACTGGTTTGTGTATTTACTATGCTAAATACTTTTTATAATTATTTTTCAAAGTTTGCTGTAAAACAGCATGGCTATTATGCCAGCACAGCCTCATACGTTTTGTGTTTGTACTGTTTCTTGATTGCACTGAGAGGCCACATTGAGTAATTCAACTATACTATCTAGGTTTATGTAACTACTGTATTTTGAACAATGACAAAATCCACTTAACACTTCTCAGAATATATCCTCATTATTAAGTAATGCATGGCTTATTTATTATATATAGATAAAACATAAGATTTAAAAAAATATATGCCTAGTTAAGAAATTTTGTGTATAAAATTTTCTATTATTGTTTATCTTATCCTATGAGCTTTTTTTATAGTAGAGTTGTTTCTATTTTCTAAGTCCTATTATTTAGAAATCCCATCATTTTTAATTATTTAATTTAAAAATACCATTTTCTACAGGTGTTTGATGCAAATGGAATTGATGTTACTCCCCGACCTCTTTATTGTCCAGACCCACATGTTGGTACAGCAAAACCAAGTAAACTACTGACATCACAAGAAGGATCACTTGGATCAGAATTTATTTCTTCCTATAGCCTGTATCAGAATACAGTAAATCCTAGTATGTTAGGGCAGTTTATAAGGTATTGTTCTATTCTTCCTCTTTATATATATATTGTCTTTTTATTTAAATTGCATATATATAACTTAGATAGCAGTTACCTCTAGTTTCTCAGCTAAAGCCTATTTTCCTATTGTGCCTTCTCTATGTTGCTTATGTTTTAATTAGATGCAGAACTCTGAATGATTTGATTTCCTGCACTCTCACATTAAAATGTTTGTGAGCCGGGTGCTATAGCGCACACCTGTAATCCCAGCACCTTGGGAGACTGAGGCAGTAGGATTTTGAGTTCAAAGCCAGCCTCAGCAAAAGTGAGGTGCTAAGCAACTCTGAAAGACCCTGTCGCTAAGTACAATACAAAATTGGGCTGGGGATGTGGCCCTGGGGTCAAGTGCCCCGAGTTCAATCCCCGGTAAACCCCGCAAAAAAGAAAAGGTTTGTAAAAAGTATGTAGATTTTACTTAAGAATACCCGGGGAACCAAAATAAGGGGCTAACATCACACAGGGTTGATTGCAAATTCTCATTAGATACTTTTCCTTATCTTCTTCAGCTTCTTTTTATGCTATATTTTATGGGAAGGGGAGTGGCTTTCCATTTTGCTCCCTTTCCCATGAAATTGCTTATTCTGCTAGGGTTTGATTTCTAGTTTATTTTTGAATACAGAGCAATTATATACTGCTCTAGAGACTGCCCCCAAGTTTGCCAATGAAAGTCATGGGAAAGCAAGGTAAAACAAAAGAATGTTCCAATAAAGTTGACCCACTCTTTAAGTGGGCAGTTGAAACTATAAATAAAAAATAAAATTTGTGTGATATCATGGAATGGTGTTAAGTTCATATGTTTAAGAAAATTATTTCTGGATTCTTCCATTGATCTCCTGCTGAGTACATAGATGTGTTTTTTATTTAGTTTTGGGAGGATCTTTATAAATTGAACAAATCACATTTTTATGATGGAATTTGAATAATGAGCAGAAAGGAGGTGAAAAATCAAAGGATAAATACTTCAGGGTGAGGCTCTGATGAGCTCTATAAGATTGAGAAATGGACAAGCAACAAAATAATCTTAAGGCAAGAGAGAGAATTGAGATGAAGAAGTTGAGAATGGTAGGCTATATTTTGGATTTTTGTCCTAAATACATTGGGAATACATTGAATTTGTTTAAACATACATCTGGCATGTGTTATTCTAAAATATATTTTGAATTACTTTTTATCTAAAGAAGATAAAAAATCAACTTAGTGTTTTAAAAGTTAATTTATCAACTTATTTTGACTTATATTGTTGATATGATTATAGTATATTTGATTTCTCCCTTCTGGTAATATATTCTAATTTATATATTGTCCATAAGAACATTTAAATAATTGAGTAATGTTATTAAATGTCAATGTTATTAATATTGTTAAAGATCAGTTATAGGAAGCAGTACCATTTCTAAGTCAAGTATATCAACAACTGAATCAATAGCAGAAGACATAGAAGAACCATCCTTTAGACGAGAAAGACTATCTAGTTTAACAGGTAATGAAAATACTGCTGTCTTTAATTGTACAGTGTCTACTCATTTCCACTGATATTTCTGTTCATACCTTTCCCAAAACTCCTTCAATGAGGTTTTCATACATTTTTAAAGCTATTAAATTATTTTGTCACAATCTGATACCATTGTAGAATCCTTCCATGTCTTAATTATATTTATAAATAGGTAGATAGATACTCCCATGGTATCTCTGGTAGCTATTAGAAATCATTTCCATATTTCTTTTTATCTCAAATAACCAACAAATAATAAACATATTGGATCCATCACTAAAATAAATACTATGAATCCATACTGATATAAATGAATGAATAAAAGAAACAGACTAATCTTTATGGAAGAATTCTTTTTTCTTTCTTTTTTATTAGAGCATTATAGTTAACAACATAGTAGTTGGTTGGGTTATCTTAACAAATTCATATATGCATGCAATTCAATTTCAATTAATTTTCCTCTCTTCTTCCCATTCTCCTGATCTTCTTTTTTGCTCATCTATTTATTTTTGATTGTTTCTTTCTACTTACACATAAAGGTGAAATTCCTATGGTATATTTACATATTCACATAGCACATTTTTTATTTTAAAAAATTCATTCTGCATTTCCTCCCCCTTTCTCATCCCTCCTCTCCTCCATCTTCTTCTCTCTGATCTTCCCTATGTCTTTATGATACCAATCCTCCCCTCCTCCTCTCCTTTATTTTGCTTCTACATATGAGATAAAATATTCAACCCTTGATTTTCTGAAACTGGCTTATTTTACTCAGCAAGATGTTCGTGGGCTGGGGTTGTGGCTCAGTGCTGGAGCACTTGCTTAGCATGGGTGACACATTGGATTCAATCCTCAGCACCACATAAAAATAAATAAATAAAATAAAGGTATTGTGTTCATCTACAACTAAAAAAAAAATTCTCCATTTTGTCTACGTACCACAATTTTTAAATCCATTTGTCTATTGATGGGCATATTGTTGAATTCATAATTTGACTATTGTGAATTGTGCTGCTATAAACATTGAGATGGCTATATTGCTATAGTATGCTGATTTTATCAGTTTTACAGAAGATTTCTAGATAAATAATGTAGACATTCCTTCCTCAAGAAAGTGGAACTTTTCATTTTGACTTATTTCTAAAAGTACAGTATATATAGCGGGGAGGAGAAGAATAACTTTAAAGCAGAAAAACCTGACAAATGGTACTTCAGCCTGGTTGTTAAGGTTAATAAGTGATAAGTCATGTTAATAACATGTACCCTAAATATCTGATTAGAATGACAGTTTACCTCTGTAGTCTTCCTCTAGATGCCCATAACTGTGTTTAATATCAAGCAAATCGAAACTGAAGCACATTTTCCAAAATACATGTATGACCAGTACTCCTCAAAACTCAGTTATCAAAAACAAGTCTGAGAAACTGTTACAGTTAGAGGAATCTAAGGGGACATGATAGCTATATATAATGTTAGATATCTTGGAGGAGATTCTGAAGGAGAAAAATGACAGTTAAAAACTAAGAAACTTGGAATAAAATATGGACTTTAGATGATAATGAAGTATCCATATAGTTTCTTTAGTTGTATTAAATATGATAGATAGTATTAAAAAGGGAAAACTCAATGCAGGGTATACTGGAACTCTAATATTCTTGCAACTTTTCTTTTTTTATCTTTTATTGATTTTATTGTTTTTTAAATACATGACAGCAATGGAATTCATTACAATTCTTATTACACATATAGAGCACAATTTTTCGTATCTCTGTATATAAAGTATGTTCTCCCCAATTTTTGCCTTTATACATGTACTTTGTGTTTTTTTGCATTACAATTAATGTAATTGTTTTTTCAAATCTCTGTATATAAAGTATGTTGACATCCAATTCAAGTCTTCATACGTGTACTTTGTATAATGATGTCCATTACATTCCAACATCCTTCTTGCAACTTTTCTATACATCTGAAACTACTCTAAAATAAGAAATTTATTGATTTTTTTAAAAATTTAGTAAAACCTTAAATAAGTCCTTCAATGATTCTTATTCATGCTAAAGTTTGAGAACCATTGTTTCGTTGCATAACCAGAAGGAAGTTTATTATTAGGGATGCTTTTAGTTTTATTTGTAAGGTAGGGCTCAAACTGCATTTTATGCAGTTTTTCTTTAGATGGCCTCAATGAATGAATGGTTTATTGAAATAATTTTGTTTGATTCTTTCTTGTTTCTCATTTGTTTACCTACTCATCTAGTAAGCTTTATTCTTTACCATGCTGTCGTGGTTATGTTTACCTTGCTTCCTTATCTGATTCCTTTAAGCATCTTCTGTAATGTCCATTTAGTGGTCATGAATCTTTTTATTTTATGCTTGGAGAGTTTATTTCTTCTTTGAATCTGAAGGACAACAGCTGTGTTTTATTAATCTTTTCCATTGCTGTGACCAAAAGAACAAATAAAGGAGGAAAAGTTTATTTGGGGCTCATGATTTCATAGGTCTCAATCTGTAGATGACTGATTCCATTGCTGTGGACCCAAGTTGAGGCAGCATATCATGGGGGAAGAGCCCAGTGGAGGAAAGCTCCTTAGCTCATGGCAGGCTCAGGAGAAGAAAGGGGAGGGGGGGGTCACATGGAAGATGCACCCTTCCAGATCATGCCCTCTATTCCTGTGAGATGCCTTTTCCAGCCACGCCATACTAGTCTATAGTTAGCACTCAAAGTAGGATGAACTGATGAGATTAGAGCACTCATAGTCTAATAATTTTACCTGTGAATATGCCTACATTTACAGGAGGTTTTGGGAGACACCTCATATCCAAACCATAAAAATCTGGATTTAGTAATTTAGGTTGGTAGTTATTTTCTTTCAGGGCTATTAAGCCATATCATTCCATGCCTTGCCCTTTTGAGTTTCTGTTGAGAGATTCTGCTATTATTCTGATGGTTTGATCTTTACAACTGACTTCATACTCATTGCTTTTAACATTCTTTCTTTGTTCTATTCTTTTGGCAGTTTAACTGTAATATGTCATGCAGATTGTTTTCTGGTCTTGTCAGTTTTATGTTCTAAATGCCTACAATACCTAGATGTCCATGTAATTCCCAAACTTGGAATTTTTCTGATGTTATTTCATTGAATAGGTTTTCTGTATCATTCATTAGCCTGTAGTTTGACTTACTCATCAAATTGTATGAGTTGTATGGTTGATTTTTTAATGTTGTCCCATAGATCTTGTATGCTCTGTTCATAGTTGTTTTGTATTTTCTCTATTATTCTCTAAATGTGATGAGCTTATTTTCAAATCCTGATATTCTTTATTTATTTATTTTTTTAATCTAATCCATTGATGAGGCTTCCAACTGAGTGTTTTCCAAGATTTGTGTTTGGTTCTTTTTTAGAATCTATATCTCTTATTGAATTGCTCTTTCATATCCTGCATTGTCTTTATTAATTCATTCAGCTATTTATTCATATATTCTTTGAATACATTGATTATTTTAAAAATCAATCTTTTGAATTCTTTGTCCTACAGTTCTTTGGAATCAGTTTCTAGGGAGTACTTAACTTTCAGATAAGCCTTGTTTTGTTTTTCATATTTCTTCTGTTTCTATGTTGAGATTAATGCATTTGTTGGAATGGAACTTTCTTTCACTTTAAGATGAAGGCCCTCTTTAAGTAAGCAGCCTTCTCTTGACCATGTCTGTCAGTTTGTGTGTAGTGTTGAGTTCAATTCCAAATAGAGTTCTTAGTGTAGTTCCCTATGACTTGGGCCATTTAGTGGATTTCAACACTGTGCCTACTGTGCTGGTGCCTAAGTGACGTACTTTCTTTATAGGTCTGTAAGAATGGAGACCTTCTGGAAGTTTAGGCAGGTGTGTTGTTGACATCTGCTTTGGGGTGCACCCTCTCTGATTACTCCTCCAGACTTTTCTGTGTTCTATCACAAATATATTTTCATGATTTTGAAAATTACATTCAACTACTATTTAGTTTTTGTAGAAGAGTATAATTTGTTTAGCCATTCCAAATTTTGGTGATTGGTTTACATTTTTAAAAAATAAAATTTTGGGGGTTATTAAGAATATGTTTTTCTAAGTCTATGGGCCTTCTCTAGAAGAGATTAAGTTCTCTGGAAACTGTATGTTCTTAGTTTCCTAAAGTTGTTCAAGCTTTACTCATCCTGAAGTCCTAAGGATTCCTTCTTCACACTCTTTGATTAAATGAATATATTAAACTCCAACATAATGCCATGTCATGCCTCTATTTTGTCCACATAACCAATTCCAAATTCACACAGCCCCAAAACTCTATCCTCAGTAAAATTTTCCATGAATCTTAGACTTCTGACTGTCCTAAATGTTTTTTGCCAATCATTTTCAAAATAATCTTGAGCTTTTTTTATTGATATAGTCAATGAGAACTTCTGTTGAAGAAGGTTTGAAGCTCCTAGCGAAGATGATTTGAGGTTATCTATAATCTAAATCAAAAGACAATAAGAAGATTGTTGTAGATATAGACTAGAAATTAACTTCAGGGCTTACAGAAGGGTTACATGCTATATCCCCCCAAGTAAACTTATGCCCACATTCTGCAAGAGTAGTACCAATAGTCAGTCAGCCCAGAATCCCTGTTAATATTGTGGAACAGTTATAATGGGGATTCCCTTGGAGTTAGTTATGACTGGATATAAGATTAGTCTAGGCTTGATAGCTACAGTCAGCAAAGAAGACACTTTATGGGCTGTAAGATGCAATTTGGTTTCAGAGAAGTAGAATATACTGTATTTCAAAACATGGGCTGTTCCTTTATCATATAAGGTCACCTGCAACATATGACTCATCATATATTTTGGCAATTAGGAAAAAATGCAAAATAAAAATATGAATTAGTTAATGATTTTTATTATGTATTTCAGATTTACGAGTTATGAGGGCAGTGCCTGAAACAACTATAACAAAAGAAGACCTTGAGAAGAATATAGAGATAATACTTACAGAGTCGGAAATGCTACGATTTTTTGACTTGCCAACAGTTACGATCTCTGTAGAATCTGAAGAAGCTGAGAAAGTAACGTATGTATAGTTCAACTGTCTACATTGCTTCTATATGTCAGATGCTAAAGCAGGGGTTCTGTACCTTGTTTCTATGAAGGGTCCTTGGGGGATTTCTGAATATACACTAACTGTATGTGCCCTGTGAAATTATGTTTATATTATATGTAAATTTTCATAGAGGAAATATCCATGGTTTTACCATATTTAATAATCAGATGAACTTTTGAAGGTGATAGAGGAGATGTTAATCAATAGGTACAAAGTTACAGTTAGATAGTAGGATTAAATCCTGGTGTTCTGTTGTACAGTAGGGTGACTATAATTAACAATGTGTATTTCCAGATAGCTAGATGAGAAGATTTTGAATGTTCTCACCACAAAGATATAATAAATGTTTGATATGACAGATATACTACTTACTCTGATTTTATCAAACAAAGTCAGATAAAGTAATATATATATATATATATATATATATATATATATATACATCAAAGCACTACATTTTGCCCATATATTTGTGCATATTATTTGTCAATTAACTAAACTTAAAAAATTATGTGACTTTCTAAGACAAAAATAAAGGCAATAAAGAAGTCTCAATATAGATTTTAACTATATTTTATGCACACATAAATTAAAAAGAAAGAACTGACATTTTTATATTTAAGACTTAAAGGAAAATATTATGGGGGAAGTAAAGGAGTTTAGTCTATTGAAGCAGGTTTTTTATTTCTCTTTATTAATGAGTATAAGTACACTATTAATTCTTGCCTCATGTATTTTGATGCTGTGTTGTTAGACGCAAACATATTAAAGATTATTGTATATTCTTGGAGAATTGGCTCTTTTATGATTTTGTAATGCCCCTTTTTATCTCTGATTTTTTTTCTTGCTCTGAAGTCTTTTCTGTCTGAAATTAATATAGTCTATATAGAGTATTAATACAATTATTCAGATTATTTCATCCCAAATGTCATTTAAATGTGATTCATAATGCTATAAAATCTATTGCTAAAATAATTTTAGGACATTGCCCTCCCCAAAGTATAAAAAATTATAAAATTATTTGGACTCTAAAGTTTAATAGAATTAGGTCATGAATAACATAGTTTTACCGGCTTATACAAAGTAAGGGAAAGTGTACCTAGGACCCCCCAAAAAAGGGGCCTGAGGATGTAGCTCGATAGTAGATGTGTACTTAGATTAATGAGGGTCTGGGTTCAATCCCCAAAATTAACAAAAAGAAAAACAACCTAGCTCAGGAGTTCACGGCTGCTTGAGCAACACAGTGAGACTCTATCTCTTTGAAAATAAAGGGGAGAGAAAAGCACCTAAATTATCTTAAGAGATCCTAAATTACTAGGAATGCTGGCTGTTTTCAGAAGCAAACACAAATCTGTGGAGGAAAGCATACCCCATTCAGGCTCTTACTGTTTCCTCAGATTGAATTTGGTAAAAATACATCAAACCAATAAAGAAACAATTTATTATGAATAAGAATAAACAGAAGTAACAAATCCTAGATCTAGACACTGAGGGCTGTGGATAATGATGTTATCAGATATATAATATATGTGTGAAATATTTAAGCAAGAGTTAAAACATCATTAACATTAAGAAACTATCAAATTTATGACTCATGTTTGGAAAAAGAACTTTATAATAAAGTATATTTATATGATTGTTAAAAATAAACAGCAACATGGTAAGCATAATTGATTAGAGATTTAATAAATTAGAAAATAGATCTGGATAAATTATACAAAATAACAAAGTATAAAAAAGTTAAAAATATGTTTATGTTTATAGTAGAATAAAATGGTCTGATATATGTCTAATACAGTTAGAAAGAGCAAAACAAAGAATTAAATGGAGGTACTGGTCAGAGTCATAATGACTTTCTCAACTATTGAGAGACACCATTTCACAGAAATAGGAATAAATAAGAAAGCTATAAAAAACATTCAGTGCATTGTACTACTCCAGAATACCAAATACAAAGAGGATATTTTTAAAATAGAAGAAAAATATAGGAAAAAAAAAACTTTTATCACTTCAAAGAAACAAATTGACAACACCTATCAGAGGCAAAGGTCACTCAATAGTATAAAGGTATAAGCATAAACTTAAATACTCCTAATAAAATAATCTCAGTATATAGAGAACAAAATTGGAAACCTGATAAGTATCATTACACATAGAAGATTTTACCATCTCTCTTAATCATTGATAGGTCAACCAGGAAATAAAGTAGTTTATATGCAGAAAATTTGAACAAAATCTTAATGACCTCTGCACTTAACATACCTCTGCCCTTAACAGTTAGAGAACACATTCTTTTTGAGAATATGGAACATCCATGAAGCAAGGTCTCAAAAATTTTAAAGAAGTAGAATCAAATAGATTAAATTCTCTAACAATGCAGTACAGTAAGAAAAACAACAACAACAACACTAATATAAGCCACAATTAAAAGACATTCACATACGCATTTGGAAGTTAGAAAACACATTTCTAAATTCCTCAGAGCAAAAAAAAAAAATAATGAAATTTTAAAAAAAGTTCTAAGAACTGACCAATTCTGTAAATATGCTTTGAGGATGTCACAAAAGTAGTATTTTGAAGGAGTATATAACTTTATATATTTACATTAAAGTTCTATAGAGAACTTATTAAAACCTCTATAGAGATAGTGCTAGTATATTCCTGGTGGATACTGAAAGTAGTCCAGATGTTGAGAGGTACAGTGTAAAAGCATCCTTTGGAAGTCAGTTAATCTTTTCTGAAGAATATTTTTGAACTCTGACTTCACTTTTTGGTATAGCCACATTAATGATAATATCAAGTAAAAAATGCATCAAACCAATAAAGAAATAATTCATTATGAATAAGAATAAACAGAAGTAACAAATCCTAGATCTAGATGCTGAGGACATAAATGGAGAATGGTGACATACATACAGAATATGTGCAGTTATAATTGATTTTTATTAATGAGTTGGTTTTACTTTAATTTTTACAGCCAAGGAAATAAGAATTATGAAAGCCTTTGTAAAAATAGATTAGGCAATGACTTATATGTTGAAAGGATGATGCAGACTTTTAATGGTGCACCAAAGAATAAAGATGTTCAGTGTGATAAAATCATAACAGAAGACAAAGGTAATTTGTTTTATTCTCCTTGATAAACTACTGTTTTAGTATATGCTCCTTGAGTCTGACAATCAACAAATAAATGTTGAAATATAGAGAGCAAAAATAGAATAATTTGGACAATTCACAGTAGTAATTATGTACTGTGATCTATAGTTTTCAGAATTTGAAAAATAAGGTAACAAGTAATAAAGATATAGATTTGAATAACATAACTCAATCTTGATTTTTTGTATACTCTATCATAGTATTCTGTACTCTTCAGTTGTTCATGAAAGATTTATAAATTTATTATTTAGTATGTCACAAAGAATATCTACCACAATTAACATTTTAAATGTTCTAGACATTATTTTAGGCCTTTCATGTATGTTATCTGGTTTAATTCTCACAACTCTATGTGTTAGGCACTATTATTATTGCACATTTTGTAGATGAGGAAATAGGCAAAAAAGAAATTAGCTAACTTGTTCTTACTCCAGAGCCTATGTTCTTAATGACTGCACTTACTCTCTCAATTTTTACAAATTAACATCCTTGAGAATATTTTATAGCCAAAAATCTGTATATAAAAAGTAAACATTTCATTTCAATATTAACTGAGATAATCCCATGGAAATATAGGAACCAGAAAGGCATACCACTATTACAGTAATCTTTCATCATTGTATTGGCATTTTCAACTTTGGTGGTAAGACAAGAACAGATATAGAACATTCCTGTATGACCAAAGGAATACTTATAAGGAAGGTTATAGATGATCTTAACTGCCTTTACTACTCAACAAAACTATAAACAAATTTTTTAAAAGATTAAAATGAACTTCTAGCAAAAACATTTAATCAGTTTTTAATAAAAACATTTTTATTAATGGATTAGTTTTACACCTAGAGAAACAAAAATTATTAAATCATTTGTAGAAATAGATGAGGCAAAGTGTGTGTGTATCTTGCCTAATCTGTCTTACAGGTGGGAGCATTTATTCCCTATTCCTAATATTTTCTTTTATTTGAGAGAGTATAAATGAGTGTGTTCATCTCCACTGTTATTCTCTTACTCATTTCTACCTAGGAATAAAGGTGTGACTTACCTAATTGATCAGTTAGGGAGTAGAAATGTGGATATGCATGGTTCCTTGCTTTCCTTTTCCTGGTACCCTGCAGGCAGCAGAAAATATGATTCAGATTGGCTTCTCCAGGCTACAAATTTTAAAGAGAGATTACTCAACATGGAGAGGTCTGTAGCTATTAAGCTGTATTTGGTAAGTCTAATTCTAGGATTTATGATTAAGGAGTTCTTTGTTGCTACTTTTACTAATAGATTTAAAAATAAAGGAAAGAATCATTCTTTATAGAACTCAAAATTATCAAAACTGCTCAAAAAATGACAGAATTCGGGCTGGGGATGTGGCTCAAGCGGTAGCACGCTCGCCTGGCATGCGTGCGGCCTGGGTTCGATCCTCAGCACCACATACAAACAAAGATGTTGTGTCTGCCGAGAACTAAAAAATAAATATTAAAAAATTCTCTCTCTCTCTCTCTCCCACTCTTTCTTTAAAAAAAAAAAAATGACAGAATTCTACTTGATAATTGAAGTAATGCGAAAGTTTTTACCAAAGAATAACCCCTAAGCCCCCTAATATAGCCCACATCAAGGATCTTCTTAGAGGCTTAATCCATAAATATGAGAGTAATTTATAATATGTGTACATTGGGCAGGATTCTTTAGAGAAATGGAATCAATAAGGTGCACACACACATGTACACACATAGTCATGCAGTGCTAACCATGTTTCAATCAGTGATGGACCACATATATGATGATAATTGAATTAGATTATATTACCTAATGATATCATAACTTTCTTAATTTGTAACTGTTTTTAAGTAACATATATCTGTATAAAAAGATTTTTTTTATAAGGTATTGGCTTATATGGTTATGGAGGTTGAGAAGTACCATGAATTATCATTTGTAAACCCAGGAAAACTGATAGTATGGTTTGAAGGCCTGAAGATCAGAGTACTAATGGTGTATATGCCAGTCTGGCTTTGAAAACCTTAGAATGAGGAGTACTGAGGGCAGAAGATTAATATCTCTTACAAAAAGATAAAAAGCATTTAATATATTCAGATTCAGTCTTGATATAGTTATCTGTAAAGACATGGTAGGATCTTTCTTGATAAAATATTTGAAATAAAAAGTAAACATTTTGTTTCAATATTAACTGAGATAATCCCCATGGAAATATAGGAACCAGAAAAGCATACCACTATTATAGTAATCTTTCATTTGTATTGGCATTTTCAACTTTGGTGGTAAGACAAGAACAGATATAGAACATTAATATTCTTTTTTTTGTGGGGGTGTGGTACTCAACCACTGAGTAACAGTTCTCAGCCCTACTTTGTATTTTATTTAGAGATAGGGTCCCACTGAGTTGCTTAGTGCCTCAGCCTCCCGAGCCACTGGGATTATAGGAATGTGCCACGGTGCCTGGTAGAACATTAATATTTTTAAGGAGAAAACCAAGTGATCATTATTTGTATGAAATATTAATATCTACTTAGGACTTTATTAAAAATCAGTTTTTTGCTGTTGTGACAAATGCCTGAGATTATTAACTTATAAGTAAGAAAGATTTACTTTGGATACATACATATATATATATAAAATCACCTGGCCCTGGTGCTTTGGGCCTATGGTGTCAGGATCATGTGGAAGGAGAACTCTGTTCACCTCATGGAAGACAGAAAGCAAAATACGAAGGAGAGACCAAGCATCCCAATATCTCCTTCAAGAACATTCTGACTGACTAAACTCCTTCCAGTAGGTCCCACCTCCCAAAGTTTGCACCACTTCCCAATAGTGCCACATGCTGGTTACCAAGCCTTTAACACATAGGCTTTTGAGGCTATTCTAGACTATAGCAGATACCTCAAGAGCATTAACTGACAAATAGTCTTATGATGACATTAGCAAAGATGGCAGAATAGGTGGTTCCAGCAATATGTTCCTCCAAAGAAATGTCAAAAAAAAAAAATGAGAAAAAATGAACTCTTGGGGTTGGGGATATAGCTCAATTGGCAGAGTGCTTGCCTCGCATGCACAAGGCCCTGGGTTCAATCCCTGGCACCACCAAAAAAAAAGAACTGTTGTCAGAATTCTAGAAAATAGTCAAAGGTCTATAGCAACCAAGCAAGAGCTGAATCAAGAAAAAAGCAACTTAATAGGCAATAAAGGAAGTATGTAGAAAGGTAATCAGAGAACTTAGGTAATGAAATACATTGGTACTAGCTTTAAATTCTTTCAAAATTTTGCTAGATCTTTGAAAATTGTGACATTAAAATGTTGAAGGAAAAGTGAGTTCTAAAGAAGTAAAATGTACGAAACATAAAAGATTTATTAAAAGCACCCCATTAACTCTTAGCAATAAAAGACAAAAGCTGTTTAACATTGCTAGGAAATTTTTGTGGCATCTTCACTTGTTTTTCCTCACTCCCTCTAAGGTGGTGGTCTTTTTGTGTGTGTTTGTGCAAAGAATTGAACTCAGGGGCACTCTACCATTGAGCTACATCCCAAATTTCTTTTTAGTTTTTGAGACAAGGAATTGCTAAGTTGCCCAAACTTATGATCCACGTCCTCCAGCCTCACGTGTAGCTGGGATTGAAGATGTGTGCCACCACACCCCACATAGTGGTAGTATTAAAGGCAATAACCCACCTTTGCAGTATGAGACCTTGGCCTATCTTATTCTCGAAGGGAATCTTATCTCAAAGAATTAAGTTTGTTTTCTTTAACTGTCTTGGGGTTACCTGAAGGACTGAGACAAAGCAGTTTTTTTTTTTTTTCACCAAACTCAAAACTCTATCAAGCAATAAAGCAGCTGTACATAGGGCATTCTTCAAAAACATTCTTTTTTTTTTTTTTTTTTTTTTTACTTTTTATTTTTATTTATTTTTTTCTTACATACATGACAATAGTAGAATGCATTATACTCATAATTATCCATTCACAGCTAAAACATTCTAAGAAAAATAAACATATACAATGACACAAATATGTATTAAAATATGTCAGAAGTAACCAAAAGAAAATTATATGAGTATACTAGCATTTCACAAAAGAGAATTTGGAGAAGTTGTCATAAAAAACTCACTGCTACTTGTGGCAAGAGTATATAACTTAACCAAACAAGGGATATCTCAAACCCTGTGAAGGAAAGTGTACGGATGAGTTTGTTTTGGAAATTAGAGTATTGAGCAAGGCCTGGAAATACAGGGGAATTTGAAAAGTTTCGTACATGCTTTGGGTAGAATACATTCTCCAAAAGAATATGAGAAGATCCTAAAGTCTTTACCTTTAACTGACTTCTAGGCTCAGTACGCACAGGAAGTGAAGGCTAAGGAAAAGTTATAAATAGCTTGGCCACACATTGAAGGAAAGTCCCAATACAGAGAGCATATCTGCAAAGATTGGGAATTGATTTATTTTCTTTTTCTTCTTTTTTTAGTTAAAAAGCATTTTTTGAGAGAGGTGGTTGAGGGGAGATCTAGGAATTCAAAGAAATTTTTGATAGGACAGTAGCTTACCACAAGCTAAAGAACAAAGAGTTCTGAGATAACATAAGACAGAGAACACAGAATTTTACAAAATTTTTGTTTTTAAAATTTGCTAAGCAAACAATTATTATCCTCAGAAAACTATTAAAAACAAAGAGCATAAAGAATCTGATTTCTGGCAGGGCGCAGTGGTAACACACTTGTAATTCCCGTGGCTTGGGAGGCTGAGGCAGAAGATCACAAGTCTAAAGCCAGCCTCAGCAATGGCAAAGCACTACGCAACTCAGTGAGACACTGCCTCTAAATAAAATACAAAATAGGGCTGGGGATGTTACTTAGTGGTCAAGTATCCCTGAGTTCAATCCCTGGTAACCCTCCCCCCACAAAAGGATCTGGTTTCTGGAATTAAAATAATAATTTAAATTTTCAGTTTTAAACAAGAAATTA